TAAAATTTTGGACGACATTCACGTCAGTTATGTCTATAATGCTTCGTTTGGTAGAAATGATAGAAAGTATGAAAGATAGAAAGTAGGAGGAATACATTTTCTGTCCTTCATGAATGAAAAATATGAATGATACACTTTACTTTTTTTGTGTTTGGTTGGATGGATGGAAAATAAAAATGACTAATTTTTTTTTAATTTTTTTTTTGTGATGGCTAAGATTAAGGTTGACAATCGAGTCGTCTCGTATCAAATTCATGTTGAGTCATAAAATTATAAGTTTTTTATATTTCTTATTCGCGTGTCAGATCATTTTTAAGTTCGTATCGAGTTATAATCAAATTCGTGTCATAAAATTTGTGTCAAGTTTGAGTCGTATCATTGTGTTGGATTGAAAATTTTCACTCCTAGTTAAGATGAAATTTTTTTTTTAATTTAAATATATATATATATATATATATATATATATATATATTATCATTATATTTTTATATGAAATTAATGTATACATAATATATATATGACAAATAAGATATATCTAAACACAAATAACTAATATTTCATCCATTTTCCTTCCGATTTTAGAGGAATTAATTTTGGTAAGTTGAAAAAAAATTTCCCTAATATTTGAATCGATTAAAAATAATTGACTCAAAATTTAATACGTAAAAAAATATAATTTTTAATCCACTCGAATTTCAATACATAAAAAATAAATTTTAATTAGCCCAAATTTTAATACGCAAAAAAACTTAGAAAACAAAGGAGACCTCATTAAATATATGTCTGCCTAAAAAGGGTATGGATGAAATTTTTTTAAAAATGTGTCATGGACAATTTAGTAAAAATGTATTCTAATGAACATTTTTAATCTGACATCAGTAAAGATTTGGAAAATAGAAGAGTTGTCCTTGAAGATATGATAAACTTGAAAGGGTGTGACTGAAATTTTTCTTTTTTGTTCATGTTAGAAATGGTAGTTTAATGACAGGAGCATTGATGTTTAAATATAAACTAGAAAAGGTGTCAGTAACATTTTTTTTTTTTAAAAAAAAAAGTGTTATTGAAAATATGATAAATTAAAAAAAATGCGGCTATAATGACCTATTTCAGTCCCTGTGGGACTAATATGCAGTTGGCTCTTCAATGGGACCTGTTACTCAGAAGTCTTGTTTAATTGTATGATGCATTTTGGTATTGCTTGAATGGGATTCAATTGGAAGTGATTCTATATATGGCACTTACTTCCCCTTGAATTCTATTATTAGGTTTAATCCCTTTTGTTCTAATGTGTTACCTTTGTTGTATAGGTCCACCTTGTACATCCCTTGTTATCAAATATAATTTCATTTACCTTGTTAACAATGAGTAAGAGAGTCCTTTGGACCCCCACCAGCCTTCTAGATCAGATTGGTCTTGTGGTGTAACGTGTCACATATTTACATAGGTAGTTATTTTCTCATATTCGTCAATCTGTCTATAGACTATTTCTAATAGAACTTCAGTGGTTTAGTCTCCGAGTTTCAAATCTGATCAATCAGTGTGCTTGTTACTGAGTCTAGAACTTGAACACTAGAGATCATGTAATGGGTTTTCACTGGTGTAATTTTCAAGAGTGAAACAGTAAACCTTAATGAGGTAGCTGGCCATGTTCAGAAGAACCCCACTTGTATACTCTTTTTTATCTTACACTTAAATCCCTATCTCAATCAGAAACATCAGGATGCTAACAACTTATACTTCCCAGGCTAGTGTCAAGGGAAAAGATAGTAAAGAGATGGTCTGGTCAATCGTATACGATTATCAAAATCAGAGTTGCTAACACTCATTTTGAGTTGCTTCGTCCTTAGAGTCAGACTGGATCTTTATTTTACGAGAAATCTGTCTTTCCTCATATGTAATATGTGAGCTTTAGTACAAGAAAGTGTAAAATGAGAGGGGTATATGCTCTGTACAGACAGGATAAAAGATAATGTGATCACCTTCAGAGTATAGTCTTTTCGCTGAGGATTGGACCCAGTAGAATGATGATTAAGACTACCAACTATGGAATAACTAATGGTTTGGCCTACCATTACAGTGCCAAGCTTGATTGGAAATTTAAACTAGTTTTTCACAAAGAATAGAATATAATGGCAGGTTCTAACATATTGTTGGTGGGCAAATGATTTTCTCTAACGATCGAAGGGTGTAGTCTTTTGACAAAGAGGTTTCAGATGATCGTTTGATTTAAGGTTTAACTGTTTTAATTTAGGACTTCTTTGGATGAAATTAATAAAGAGAGTTTGAAACAACAAAAGAGAGAACAGTTTTATTAATCTTAATTGAAACTTCGGTTACAAAGGACTAATCAATCTGCCTTAACTGCAATGCTAATTTCTAAGCTAAAAATATGACAAGTATTACTCCTAAAATGACCCAGTCATGAGTCTTTAATGTTGTGAAAACTAGTGACTTTTCCTCTATGCGCAAATTAATAGAGAATAACCAAAACTACAATCAAGTACAATAAGTAAACCAAGCCAATAACAAGAAATACAATAATTTTTAACCTGGAAACCTTTCAAGACAAAGGGAAAAAATCACTGGATCAAACTTGGTTAAATCTCTTCACTATCAACGAAAGTAGGATTACAAGTCTTCTAGTTACCACTAGAGACGTCAAACATTAAGAGAAAAATTTCTCCTTAGTTCCCAAACATAAAAACTTCACCCTTAGGTGGATTTCAACACAAAACAACTAGAAAAATCTCACTGAAATGTCTGAACTTCTGTCATTAAAAATCAGTTGTAGAAGAGTCCAATTGACGACCCGAAAGAGTAGATACCCGTTGTGGAAGTGAGGAATATGTCCCTGAATTTTCAGCTCGACTAGAGTAGAAAAGGGCCTTAAGTGGACTGTTGTCTCCTACTTTTCTATCACAAAAGAAGCTCATCTCAATGTTTTCTATACATTTTTTTTTCACTCAAAGTGTAAAATTCGAAGACAAAAGGTCTTCAATTCTTAGATTGTGCTAGACTCTTTCAATGCATAGTTCCAATGCACACATGCACATATCTTTAATTTAAATTGGGTCTCAATGAGAAGGCATAACAAAGGACACTCAACATTTAATAGGTTTTATCGTGTCCTCTTTGCAATTAGTGTCTGTTTTATAGGCACCTTTGATCAACAGTTGTACTCGTTTTCAAACAGTTTTCTTCAATTATTTTCTCTTTCTTTGCTTCCCTGATTTCAAAAGAACACCTTTTGAATTCCAAGGTAACCACCCACTCATTTAGAACAAAAACCTTCGTATAACAATTTCCCTTTAAATTTAAAACATAATGTCAATAGACTTACTTCTTTTTGCATTTATTAAATGATCGCCACATGGCACACCATTTTGACTAGTTCACTTTGTGAACAAATGTCATTCATTGTTGATTCACAAATATCTATATAATATAGTACACTATAATTCAAATATCAAAAGATAATCAAAATAATTTTAATTTTTCGCGGTTGAGATCGTTTTAAATTTTACTTTAATATTAATCTAATGATTAATATTAACTTTCCAATTTTAATAGGAAAAATAAGTTCTTAAAGATGTTTTTGAGGTAATTTTTCAAAACTGTTTCTAAAACTTGTAACTTTTCATAATTACTTTAAAAAAAAAAATTAGTATTTGGAACAGTCCCACCCCCACCCCCACCACCACCATCACCACGACCACCACCCAACCACCCTAACTACCCTTTCCCCCCCTAACCACCACCACTACTCCACCATAATCACCATCTTCGCTATCATCACCTCTGTCACAACAATCATCATCACCACTATCGCTCCACCATTACCATCATCACTACCACCACCGATGTTGCCACCCTACCACCACCGTCACTGTTCCACTATCACCCTTACCACCCCCACCCCACTACCCTACTACCACCATCACCTACACGGCTGCCACCCCATCACCACCTCCACAATCCCCACCCCGCCACTACCACCATTACAAATCACCATTATCACCATCATTGTCATCGTCACCATCTCACCACCACCTCTGCTACAATTACCACCACCATCATCATCACCAAAACACCGATTGTTACCACCGTTATCCACCGGCACCATCTATCACCATTGTCATCTCATTTTTATATTTATTATCATTACTACCATCATCGCCCACTACCAGCTTCTATCATCACCCATTGCCACCCACTTACACAATCTACCACCACTCGTCATCGTCCACCATTGTCACCCACCCTTTACCACACTTATCACCACCACCATTCATCACCACTATTGCTTAGAAGTATCCATCATCACAACCTACACTGCCACAATCACCGTCATTACCCCACCACGACCGTTGCTGACCACCATCGATGTCGCCCACCTCCACCCACACCCACCAACACCATCGCCGTCACTCATGTTTGTCACTACCCACCACCATCACTGTTGCCAACCACCGTTTTCCACCACCACAACCATCACCGTCTTCCACCACATCCATCACCATCTTGCACCACATCCATCACCGTCTTTCACCATCACCACTACTGTCGTCCACTCTCACTACAACCGATATTTAAATTCATTTTTCTCTCCTCTATGTTTGGAATTTGATTTTAGGTGTGAATATAAATAAGTTAATTATTAAGCATTTTTTTTATTATTTCGTACCTTCAGACACGAGCAATAACTGATTATAATATGTAGTCCAAACTCTTAAAGCTTAAATGATCCAATCAATTACGGATATTTCAATATTTAATATGACCATCCCTCATATATTTGGAGATGAGTTCTTCACTACACATGCTGAAGAAAGAACTGAATACATTGATTTAAAACCTATAGATGGAATACAGAGACTTATTCATCTTCAACAATGCTACACAATTTGGCTTCCTGCTTGGCATACCTCAACAAAGATGTCCATTTGGGGGATGCATACAACAATTCTGTAACCAACATTTTCGACTCGAATGTGGAGTGGTCATACAAGAACCGGACTCAAACCAGCTGAGGGTTGGAAACTGGCAGCATATCGCCGTGCCCACAAGTCATAATGTATGATTTCCTCAAGCGAAGGCGAGGACACCAGCTCTGCCTCATGCTTATCACATGTTAGCTCCACGACCTTAAAAATGTCCAGGTAGTTGATCCTGAAAACAGGAAACTAATTCATTAGCTGAAAATTCCATGAGGGGCATATTCCGTATAAGCACTCAAAACATCTGATGGAACCTCAAAGAATTTCTCTGAAAAGGTATTTAAAAGAAAAATCCCTGGGTGACTTGTTGGGAAGGTAGTTTTTGCACCCACAAATGTTTCACCCCATCAAACCAGCACACTCCTAGCCTCGTTGTTAGCTTGGGCTCAACGATGGCACATAGAAGGCAAAAAAGGAACAGAAACTGGAGAAGTTGATATATTTGAGACTTCGATATTTTATACTTCTTAGATTCAACTTTTCATGACATCACCCATAACCCACCTTTTAATCCATTAAGCAATTTGGGTTCTTTTAGGTGAGGTCAAAAAATCGGGTTCCAACCATCTCAGCATCCATAAACTTAACAGGATTGATATGTGAAGTAAAAGTAAGTTATGACGACAAGAAAACACAGCCACTCTCCAAATAGAGAACTCATTTGCAGAGGGTGAAGCTACAGCTACCAAGAATATATTCCATTCACCATCAAAATAAGGCAGAAAAAGAACCAAGAATTAAATTTCAATACATGCAGATGATAAGTAGAACAAAGTACATACTTTTCATCGATAAACAGTTCAACAGCTTTCTCGTTAGCTGCACTAAGAACTCCAGTCATGGTGCCTCCAGGTCGCCCAGCAGCATAAGCCAAATCCATGGATGGGTATTTCACATTGTCAGGAGCTTTAAATGTCAAAGAACCAAGCCTGTTTCATCTCATTGAAGTTTTAATCATACAAAACCAAATAAGAATCAACAATATAGTCTAATGTTTTTCATGATTTTCATCTCACATTTAGCTGCAATGCAAAGATGCACATCATGGGAAATGGTCATGGCCTGTGTCTCAGAAAAAGCCTCCGCGCACGGGGTAAGGATGCGAATATCTAACCCTTTCCACACCTCATAGTGGAAGAAGTCTCGTACAATAGCCCGCTCTTTTTCATGTTATTTAACAACGAGGATTCACAAGGAACTAAAATGCAGACCTTGATAGACACATATGAGGCACATGAAATTTGCATCCATTTGCATGAGCAGTTTATAATAGCAGTTCAGCTAGTTTTAGCTCCTTCCTCATCTACAGTCACTTGTTGACAAGTAGATAAGCAAAAAGTGACTTGCCAACTTGGTATTTTGTAAGAAAGTAACTGTCAAAATTTTTCTTCTTTCTGTTGAACAAATAAGTGCTTTAGATGACCAAGGAACATTGAAGTCACTGTGTACATTTGTCCTTGCAAAAGAATGTAGGCATATAGAAATAGTATCCTGATTCCTGACAACTGGATTAATTTTTTGCCATTATCAAAAGTGAAATTACTCGTGATAATGGAACTTCAACTTTGAAGTTTACCTTCATAAGCTGTCAAAGAATGAAAGAATATAAGCCAATTTAAAACTGTAATAAGAAAGAGAAGTGTGCTATTTACTTGCACAGATCAAGGCGGGGCCAAGTAATCTCAGAGCAGTAAATTCTGTCTGGCCAGGATAATGTGTAGAGGATTGGTAGACGCATATCAGGCCATCCCAACTGTGCAAGGACAGATGAATCCTGCGAAGGGGGAACAAAAGAAAGAAATTCCCAGCTGTCAGATTTGATAGATAAACGGGATGTCTTAGACATAATCCAAGGCCAGGACAGGATAGGAGTTAAACCTGTGTCTCAACCATTGAGTGTATGATGGACTGGGGGTGAATAACAATCTCAATATCATCATATTCAGACCCATAAAGATAGTGAGCTTCAATAACTTCTAGACCCTGTCAAGATGGAAAAGAACTCATTATACAGTGTCAGGCAAGAAGGATCTGGCTGCTTACTACTCAGACATCAGTTCATAATTGGAGCTGTTTATGCAAAATATAACATGTTTTTTTTTTTTTTTGAGCGAAGGGGAAGAGAGAAAGAGAGAATGGCACCAGAATGAAAATGGAGGCAACGGAGGGAAATTACCTTATTGAAAAGGGTAGCAGAGTCCACCGTAATCTTTTTCCCCATATTCCAGTTAGGATGCTTCAAGGCATCAGCTACTTTAACTTCTTTCAGTTTATCAACCGGCCAATCCCTGTCACCAACTATACTATCAATGTCTAACTCGTTTCGAGAAAGGACCCATGATGCAAAGTAAAAATCAGCACAAGCGAATTACTTTACAAAACTTGATAGATCAAAAAAATATATGAGATACAACAAGGAAAAGGAAAGATCAAACCAGCAATTTATGAATGTATGAACAGGAGATTATCAATTTTGAATAACTTATAGATTACATTATGATAAAATGATGAATAAAATTGAACTCTAAAAAGGAAACCGTAATCATCACTTTAACTAAAGGTTATTGCATTACTATGATATGCATAGAAACAAAACATAAACAAAGATGCATGAAAGACAAGATACAACATGAACTTTACCTCAATCAGACATTGCAAGTACAGATTACTGTATACATTAGTGAAAGGAAGCTGAGAACTAAGATGTTCAGAATTGCTTATTCATGATTTTCAATGTTGCAAAGACAGAATACATGCTACAGATAGATTTTCAAGTCCAAATCAAGAGTTTATATCTGAAATTATGACATCATACCTAAAAGCTCCGCCAGATGCAGTTAAAATAATGCGCCTAAGTGCACCCTCTGGCAAACCTTGAATACACTGAAGATTGAAAATTTCCTTTAGCTATTATAATCAGCATGGAGTACATAAGTATGCAGGGCTATGCAACTTGCAGGAAAATGAATCCATGGTAATATGCTGACTTTCACAACAAAAGCAATTAAATTCTTTCTACACAAGTCGTCCAGCATGGACTTATCTATCGACAAAGATGTGTTTTGATACCTGGAATATAGCAGAATGTTCTGAATCGGCAGGAAGAATTTTCACTTTATGCTTGTTAGCAAGAGGAAGGACAAAAGGACCGCCAGCAATTAAGGTCTCTTTATTGGCCAAGGCTATGTCTTTCCCCGCTTCTATGGCAGCCACTGTAGGCTAACAAAGAAAAATAAGGTAGTAAGAATAAATTGAATCTAAACATTGAGAACAGCATTGATTCATTAATTGATTAGGATACTTTAGGTTATAGAAGAATGCATCAAAACTTGTAGAGAAGCATAAAGCAGTTAAAGCAGCAGCTGAAGATCATCAACGGAAGGCAAGCAATTTAGTCAAATAGTTGCACAATCAAATGTTCTATTAAAAGCTGCAAACCGTTTCTATGTGCGTGCATGTGGAAAGGTGTGTGCTTGTGTGTTGTTCCTATCTTTACAAGTTATTACCTTCTATTTAGGGACGTGGTAGTGTTCGGAAAGAAAAAGTAACAAGAGAACATGAAATACTACTAAGTTCTAATCAAAGGCAAATATTCTCTCCCAATTTTGTCTTTCTACATGAATAAGTAAAGCTCCCCATCACCCATCCTCTTGTCCAAGAAAGAAAAATAATATTTTACCAGAAACTAGATAAAAGTTTATATAAAGATGTAGTGTGAATTTCAAACTCTGTCCATAGCTTGTTCAGCATAGTAGATTCTTCATGCCACAAAGATGCAAGACTATAAACATGTTAATCATTGACATTATCAATCACTTCAAACAATCATTGATGTGTACATAAGCAGAAGAAACTCTCGACAGTCCATGACAGTCATTATCATGAATAAAGATGAACTTACATGCGCAAAACAGAGTATACAATGTATATATACAAGTTTGTGCATGTACAAGGAAGTACAATGAAGGAGTTGAACAAAAATATCATTCCTCATTTTGTTTTATAATATATCATTATAGTGAATAATCGAACCAAAACATCTTGCCTATCATACTTATGGATGGAATGAGACATTCACAAAAAATATTACAAATTTACCTTTAATCCTGCACAACCAACTATTCCTGTTACTACAGTGACGGCATCCGGGTGGCGGGCAACCTGAAATTAGATTTTTTAAGCAATGACCACCAAGAATGAGATCAACTTCGATCAGGGAAACAAAAGAGAGTGGAAAATTGATGCTAGGTAACCTCAATGACGCCCTGCTCTCCAGGAATAATTTCAGGCTTGTGTTCAGCATCCACCAAAGCCTCTTTGAGTTCATCAACTAATGACTCATTTCTGACAGCAACTAATTGAGGTTTAAAGGTCTTGACCTGTATGACGAACATGTTGATGATAGGATTCCAAAACTATATACAACTGCATGAGCATTTGCTTTGCAGACATACTGAAAACAGAACTACAAATGCTAATTATTATGAGCATGGGCAGATGGTTATTAACAGTAAGGCCACCCTTAAAAATATGAAAGCTGGTTTCAGTATCATATTATTCAACTGATGGAATACCAATTAACATATCCTTAAGATGCTGACCTAATTTACTAGTAAGGACAATTGTACTGGTGCTTGATGGATGTCGCAGTTGTAGCAGTTGAAGCAACAGCTGTGACAACTGACAAATGTATATATGGTGGTAACAGGCTACCATAGTTGACATGGTATTGGAGATGACAATTCCGGTTCTTGCCATAGGGATGAATTGCTGACAGAAGTTGATAGTACTTAGTTATTAATTACTTCACCTTAAGGATTTTAAAATAACATTATGTCAAGAGAATTTGTTTGGATCTGGGATTCAAAATTACTACGCCAAGGATCAAATTTTACACAAAGAATTGCCAAATACCTTTGTGCTCTCAAATCCGTCCCAAAAAATCTCAATGAAGGAAAACCTTTATGCATAGATGGAGTAACAAAAATCGACAGAATTTATGATAAATATATTTCTTAGAAAATAAAGGGACCAACTACCAAGGCAACAGGATGCTGGCACTTTTGACATTTATTTCAATGGTTTGTCAAGCAACTAAACTCAGGTTGCTGCAGAACAATTAGGACTATTCAGCATTGGAAATATAACTGAATGATCACCTGATCAGCAAGAAGAGTGACATTTGAACCAGCCGCAAGTGCCACGACTCTGAACTTGTCTGGATTCTCCGCAACTATGTCCAATGTCTGTATGGTACCAACACATATAAACACAAAGCAAATGCATGCCATTAGTTTGACCAAAAAGCAAAGTAAGGTTTATCCAGTTCTATCTGTCAATAACAGCCAAAGAGAGAGAGAGAGAAAGAGGATTTGAAAGCAAATTTAGGTAAAAATAAGGCCTACTCCATCATTAGTTGGGTTCAAGACATGAAAATTGACTCTTGTTATCAAAATAAGCACTAATGCAAAACCATCAAATATCAAGAGTAGTTGGTTTCTTTAGATAATGTTTAATCAATCCATAGCTTGTGGAAAAGATGCGAGGGAAGAAGAAAGTTAAAAAAAAATTCCAATCAAATTAACAGCACAAATTCTTCACCTGAGTTCCAATAGAGCCAGTGGATCCAACAATTGATATAGGCTTTGGACCATCCCAAGTCTTACGATCAGGCTCAACAACAGCCCACCCTGGCCAGGCCGGGGGAGGACCCTGTACTGAGCAATGTATTCTTTTCCCATATACCACTCCATTGGCCTTCCTCTTCAAAGCTAATCCACCTAAGAAAATAGAATAATCACAAATAAACAAACTTGAACAAACTATTATCCACGGATCCACAAAATATGGCCGCACTATGATATATACTTTACTAGCCAAACCAAACCAAGTATTATGTCCCAATCATTTGGAGTCAGACTAATGATATATACTTTATTCCAATTCTAAATTGAAAGATTCTACCCTCACAACAACCATTTAAAGCCAAATAATCTCCATGACAAAAGGAAGCCCTCCAAGTTTTAAATTTCAAGATAATAACAGATACCCTTTTATTCATAAACAGAGAGAGATAAAGACACCATTTACGCTTGCAGAGCTATTACAATCGAATCTAGCAAATTGCAATAGAGGAACACAAGGAACCAAAAAGAGGTATATAACAAAATGTACATGACTTATTTGAATTCAGCTCAACCTAACACCAAAAGAATTAGTCTTTACCGGCCAAAGTCTTGAAATTTTGAGCTACGTCAAACTCATTATTTATTCCAAATTTATATACAAAATCAATCACAACACGTTCAAATCAGTATCTATGAACAACCCACTTTGAATAAGCCCCCCAAAAAAAAAAAAACTTCAATATTCCAAACCACGACAAAACATAAACATCCAATCACAGCAAGAAGTAGCAAAGTCTAACAGAATGTATTGATCAATCTGTAGCCCAATGTTCAGTGAGAAAGAAAGAGAGAGAAACCTTGAAGCTTGAGGAGGTTGAGGTTGAGGTTGTGGTTGGATTTAGAGGTCTCCAAGAAGGAGATAGCCTTGATTTCCGTCGGCGAGTGCAGATTCAGAGCCATATCGCTATACCCACTTTCCAATGGATTGTGTTTATGAAATGGACCAAAAGGAGAGAGAACTTGGAAAAGCAAGTGATAACTGTGTGGAGAAAGAGAATGGGGATTACTATGTGGTTGGAGTAAGAGAAGAGGCCTCTTATAGCCAGGAACAGAGAGCGACAAAGAGACAAGAGAGACAGCGAGAGAGAGAGAGTAGGGAAGAAGAGGACGAATCGAGGATAAGACGACTTGGAAATCAGCACTTCTCGTGAACTGCATGCGGTTTTATGTATGTTTGTTTTTATGCCTTCTATTTGCCTCAACTAGTTTTATTCAGCCACGTGCAAATTACTCTTTTACATTTTTTTTTAAATATATTTGCTAAGGTTGATTGCATTGCAACTCTCGATTCAAATTGTGTAATTTAAATAATTTTTTAATTAAAATTTGGATAAAAATTTGATAAAGAATTATTCAAATTATTTTTTACTCATATTTAAGTATTATTTTTCGCATGAGGAGAACTATATATAAATATATTCAATATTTTAGAGGCTAAAATGATACAATTAAAATATTTGATACCAAAATGAGACAAATTTCATATTTTAGAGACTTTTGGTGTAATTAACCCCATTTATTATGATTAAAATATTTATTAGATCTGAATAATTTTTTTTTTGAATTAGATTTGAATAACATTATTCATTATATCCTTCTGCCATATGAAATTTTTATCTCCACTCTCATTAATGGTAAGCATACATTAAAAAAAAATTGCAGTATTAATAAATGACTAGCCAACAAGCTCCATTATCTATATTTAAAAATTCATTGGACCCCACGCCATATAGATAAGGTCCATAGGGATTCACTAATGAGAGCAAGGAAATTTGAGGGTGGAATGACATTTTAAATTCTTATATTTTTAATTTACACTTTCAATTAGATAAAGAAGTAGCAATGTATTGAAAAGTAAATGTTAATTGTTTTTTTCGACAATTTTTTTGTTGTATCTGTCATATTATCCTATTTCTATACACAAATTGCTCGAATAATACTCAATTTAAAGTGTTTTTAGCAGAATTATATAATTTAATGTTCTAAAAATGAAGTACATAGATGACTTTTTATTTGATTAAGGGCGCAATATAAGAATCTCAATCTTTTAAGTAGTAAATTGACAATACAAAATTTTTTTGGGGTCAAAATACAATTTGTCCTAAATTTAATTTCTTGTTCAAAAACGAAAAAGACCTAAACACGTTATAAGGCTATCATTCGAGTCCCCCCCCCAGAGGCACAACATTGTGTTGAGTTTGCATAAGATTACTTTTACATGTGTCGGTGTTTTGATTGGGTGTATCATACAAAAAAAAAAAAAAAAAAGTATTTTGGTATCGAGTAATGCTATATAAACTTAAAAACTAGACTTGATAATCTCAACCATTGATTTTACTGTGGGTTCCAGCATTTATTGAAACCCACTACCTATTCAATGCTTGAGATTATCAAATCTAATTTTTAAGTGCATATAACATTACTCTTTTGCTGTCATAAACTAACACAAGTTACACAATACTCTCTCCATTCCTAAATATATGTCGTTTAAGGTTTTTGCACAAGAATTAATGAAACTATTAAATATCTCTCTAATATGAGTAAAAAATAATTACACAAAATTAAAATATATTTATTCAATATATATTAGGAAGAAAAAGAATATGAAAGACACTTAGCCTACACCTAATCTAATGCATTGAAAAGTTAAGGGTAAATTTGAAAGAAAAAATATTAAATATGTTTTAATTTCATTAAAGGACATATATTATGAAACAAAAAAAATTGTGTAAAACAACAGATATTTAGAAACAGATGAAGTAATATAAAACGGAACAATAGTGGATATTGTCGTATGTTAAAGTTGTTCTATTATAACTTGTGCGTTTAGAGTTGGAGTGACGAAAATAAATATTACGTACAGAGATAAAGTTACAAATATATCTGACATCTCTAAATTTTATAATGACGAAAGTTTGATGCATTGAATTGTGCTTTTTTATCGGTAATGTAATTGGATGATGTATCTATTTGAGAATTTTGAATGGTAGTTTAAGTGGTAACAGAGACGAGATACAAATTCAAACATTTTGAGTTTAAATTTTAATAATTCTTTGAGTTGTGTCATAAGAGATTTATCCCTCATAAATATCTTAGTTCCGGCGTAAATGGTATGTCTTTAATCGGATCAGAGAGAAAATTAATTGAAACGTGCGTAAATTAATTTAGATATCCCTAACTTTGGAACAAAAAGAAAAAAAGATGTACCCATCAAGGCATATGACAATGGTATCCCACCAAATGGAGATCGGAAGAGATCCTTAGCAAATTACGGTTTATTAGTTCATTAAGAAAATGCTGACCCCCACCCACCACGCGTTCTTCAAAACATGTGTAAGCCATTAACAACGAAAACTCTAACTCTAATTAAGTTAATTCGTAATCCTATCAAATTAAGTTCGTATTGGAGTTCTCCATTTCTCGACTTTGAATTATGTAACATGTCAAAATCTTAGTGACAGTCCTTGGTAGGAAGATAATCAAGTTCGAATCACTTTATCACCTAGGTCGATTGGCATGGATTTAGAATAGTTGTAAACCCATGAATTAAAATTATAGTTACGACTTACGATAATAATGAATAAATATAAATTAACATGA